GTTCAACCCCCGTGCCGCGCGCCTACACGCGGCACGGAGTAGCTAGTTCGGATTAGGCTTCCTAATCTGAACTAGCTGTACTCCTCATCCCACTGTGCTGTCTACACTGGCCCTTTTCCGGAACAGTTTTTCCGGAAAAGGACTTTTGACCGAACGGGAGCAGCATAGTTTTTCCGGAAAAACACTTACAATTTTACAGTAGATCGTCATTGCTTTTCCAGAAAAGCAACCGGCCAGTGTAGACAGCTGGCAAGTTATTCCAGAAAAGCGGCTGCTTTTCCAGAATAAGTGGCCCAGTGTAGACACAGCCAGAATGTCTTGGGATAACTTTGCTCAGTGTGTTAACATTTATTTATCAGACTTAGGGTATGTCTACACTACCCTCCTAGTTCGAACTAGCGGGGTAATGTAGGCATACCGCACTTGCAAATGAAGCCCGGGATTTGAATTGCCCGGGCTTCATTTGCATAAGCGGGGCGCCGCCATTTTTAAAACCCCGCTGGTTCGAACCCCGTGCAGCGCGGCTCCACGGGGCACGAACTAGGTAGTTCGAACTAGGCTTCCTAGTTCGAATTACCGTTACTCTTCATTTCACGAGGAGTAACGGTAGTTCGAACTAGGAAACCTAGTTCGAACTACCTAGTTCGTGCCCCGTGGAGCCGCGCTGCACGGGGTTCGAACCAGCGGGGTTTTAAAAATGGCGGCGCCCCGCTTATGCAAATGAAGCCCGGGATTTGAATTGCCCGGGCTTCATTTGCAAGTGCGGTATGTCTACATTACCCCGCTAGTTCGAACTAGGAGGGTAGTGTAGACATACCCCTAGGGATTTGTAGTCTATGCCTCTGTGCAGTAAATAAATAGATTCCAAGTTAGAGCTCCTTAACTAGTTCAAAAACATGTTAGTCAGATAAGTGATTCAATACATCTTTCAACTCTCTTTATTCTATGAATAATAGATCATCAACGGGCAACCTAAGCTAGGGAGTAGGCTGCATGAGTGGTCCTCCTACATCTCAGTGGGCCACAAGATTGTTGTAACCAAGATGGTTTTCTGGGATAGAGTAGTTTTGCTCACTGCGCTGGCGTACCTAGAATTTGCGGGAGGTGCCGACTGAACGGTAGTAGCGCTTTGCTTGGCTGCGGAGGGAGCGCACGACTCTCAGAGTCAGTGTGGTGTGCAATCGGCACTCCCCTCACTTCACACGTCCTGGTTTTACGCGTGTGACATTTTAGCAACACCGGTAGGGAAAAAACTACACCCTGTGCATGGGCAACAGTAAACAAAATGTCTGGTGGGCCACACACAGAACCCCAATGGGCCGTATGAAGCCCACAAGTTGCCCACTATTGATACAGAACTTCACATCCTCAGGAAGCGAGGTCGGCAGACCTATGGGATTATAGGGATGGGAAAGTGGTGACAATCCAGGGCCAGAGAATTTAGCCCCAAGCTGCCCTGGGAAGGATTCCATTTCCACAGAAAGCGTCTGACTGGAGCCGCTGAAAATTCTCTCTCTGGATAATATGGCGGGATTCACACATCAGCGATTCCTTTGAGGAGATGAGCAGGGGAGAGATAGCCTAAAGACTGGGTTACCCTCCCCAACAGAAATCCATGCTGGTGTTCAGAGCGACATCAAGCTCTCCTGGCATTAAATACAGGACACAAGACATAACGGGCCACATCAGACCCATGAGTTCAGCTAGCACAGTATCCCCCCACCCCCCAAATCAATGGGCCCATCTGAATGCTAACACATCTCTTCTATCCTGGTGTGACAATTAGAGTCCAGACACCCCAGTGAGAGAAGAGGAGGTCTGCACCCCAGAGAGTACGCAATCAAACCTACTGGCTGAATGCAATGTTGCTGTGTTTACAACAATGTCGAGTGAAGTGTTTTGGAAAGCTTGTAAGGTTCTCAACTCGATGGTTATTATGAAAGGTGTAGCCAGGCTGTGGTTGTAAACTGACGTAGGGATAAAACTGTGCTCATAATTCGTATTGCCTCCTGCAGCTCCACCTTGCAACGGGCAGGTTTGCCAGGCAGGGGCATAGTCAGCCTGCCTCCTCAGCCAGAGAAGACTAGCTCTAAGCACCTAGCATTGTACAACATAAAGCAAGGCAAGTGAAGGGCCATTCAGGTTATTGGGAAAACATTGCAACAGCTTGAAAACAAAAAGAAATCACAGTCTTCAAAAGGAAGTTCCTTCCTTCCTTCCTTCCTTCCTTCCTTCCTTCCTTCCTTCCTTCCTTCCTTCCTTCC